GGGATTTTCGGGATTTCCTCCAACGATTTGTACTAATGGCTCTGCGCATCAGGAGAAAATGTGCATCGGACGCCTTCAGTAATTAAACAAGAGACTTCCGGGAAATCTGCTGGAGTCTGCGTCACAGCGAAAATCGCCAGCTTTGTGGGTCTATTTCAGAAATGAACACTGTTGAGCTCCGACAATGATGAAAAAGCATGTCAATAATGATGAAAAATCCGACTTAAATCTAATTTAAAGCCACATGCATGCACCTTAAACCCTCCTGCATCAGCTCCTAATGTGCATGCGGCACCCTGCTGCATGATGGGAGTGACCTTTGACCTCTGAGACGGTGTGTTGCACCATATGGCAGCAACAGTGCAGCGGAGCGGGGAGGTGAGTGTGTGTGTGTGTGTGTGATGCACGAGACCCGAGGGACATGGCAAAATACGTTGAGGGCAATTATTCTCACACCGAGCGAAAAATATGTCACATGTTTGAAACACACTCACACACAATGCCAAGCAATTCTATTTTGCATAAATGAAACCTATTTTTAGGATTTCTTTGCACTGTGGCATTAATTTCATGACAGTTAAACACATTTCACCCCAAATTCTGTGGCCAAATGAGGCTGTTTACGGACAGATTAATGTTCGCATGATCTTAAAATGTATGTGCATGTTGAAATATAGGTTATCTTCATACCTTTTGTTACAATGTATTCTTTTTTGGTTTGATTTGAGTAATTCTCATTACTGTATATGTCAAATAATCTCTGAAATTGAAAAAATACTGATATATTAATATAACTGTAACACTTAAGAATAAGGTTTCATTTGTTAACATAAACTAACAATTAAAAATACTTCTGAAGCATTTATTAATCTTAGTTAAAGTTAATTTCAACATTTACTAATGCATTATTAAAATGTATCTTTTAATATCATTTAATGGACCTGAGCCGACATGATCTAACAAAGAACTATTGTATTTTTATAAACAAACGTTAACAAAGATTAATAAATAGTAATACAGTAACAAATGTCTTGCTTATTGTTAGTTAATGCATTAACTAATGCAAACTAATGGGACCTTACTGTAAAGTCTTAGCAAATTAACTGTAAAATGTTTGTTCATCATGACAGTATTTGTTGTGTTGCATTTATTTATTTATTGCTTTATTTATTTGCAGATTTAAACAAAATGTTTTCAGGTAAAATGATTTTTCCTACTGTATTTTAGTAATTGGATTTATTTATGCATTACAATAATGACAATTTGGGGGTAAATGTGCTCAAGTTATTTTTTTTTTTTTACTTAAGTTATGTGTGCAAAATCAACACAATAAATCGTAATGGTCTTACTGGTGTCTCAGACTTTGTGTGTGTGTGTGTGTGTGTGTGTGATATCACATCAGACCGTTTAACTCATTGTGAAACTATAGATAGAGAAGCGGTTTCTGATGTCGACACACACACACTCGTCCCGACAAAGCAGTGGATTCAGATAAACCCCCACTGAACACACACACATGCAAATATCTCATCATGGCAGCTCAGAGATCCTCAGTATTAAAGAGGCTGAATTATTTTCACTTTACAAATAGCCTCAGATGGCATTTATACTGTACAAATGCAACTAAACGAATACAAGCTACTTTAAAGAAAACCATGTTACTGCCAATGTCCAAAAAACATGCTATTACTATAGACCTAACACCATGGTACCGGATAATTATCACCTTTATTTACCATGGTATGTCAAAGAATACCATTTCCCATTGGATAGACTGTTCTTTTGTGGTCCAATCAGAGTATCAGATGGAAATACCATGGTATTTTTGATATATACCCTAGTACTGAATATTTACATATGCATACTTGGCTAAAAACCACAGTATTACCATGTTACATGTCTAGAAAACATGGTATTACTACAGCATATTGTACAGAAAAACATGTAAATGCCATGTTGACATATGGTACATATTCATTTACCATGGTACTCCAAAGAATACCACTCCTCATTGGTTAGACTGCCCTTAAGTGGTCCATTCAGAGAATAACAGTAGTAATACCGTGATATTTTGGATATATACCATAGTACTTAATGTTTACCATATTCATATACCATGTTACTTCAAGGCAATTCAAAGAATGACAAGTGCTACCCCAAAAATGGCCAAAAACCATTATATTACAATGGTACATGTCCAGAAAATGTGGTATTAGTATAATACATGTTTAATAACACATTAATACCATAGTACATTGATATATACCATGGTACTGAATTAATAATATGGTATTCCAAAGAATACCACTTCCCATTGGTTACAATGTCCTTATGTAGTAATGAGAGTATCAGATAGTAATACCATGGTATTTTGACATATATCATAGTGCTGAATGTTTACCTTATGCATTCAAGACACTTCAAAGAATACCATGGTACTATACTATAGTACGTTTACAAAAACACACTATAATGCCATTGTACTGAATGATTACCATGGTATTTCAAAGAATACCACACCCCACTGGTTACACAGTCTATATATGGTCCAATCCGATCTTACATCATGGTATATTTGATCTATACCATAGTACTGAATGTTTACCATATTCAAATGCATGTTACTTCAAGATACTTGACCATGGTATCTCCCCTATGCATGGACAAAAACCATAGTATAACCCTGGTGCGTGTCCAGAAAACATGGCAATGGTGTCTAAAGGGATGCATCTCTGACCTGGAGCCGCCTGCGCCTGATTATTCCCGAATCATCCATGTCGTGTCCGGCGGAGGAGATGCTGCTGCTGCTGCTGTGCGGATCAGTGGAGACTTAGTCCGCTCGGATCCATCGGAGCTCCGGACGCCACGCGCTTCGTGCTCACCGTAATCCGGCTCATATCGAGCGTCCCAGAAGCTGGACGAGGATTCGCGACGCTCGCATCCCGCAGAAGTCCGAACGCTGAACGCACGCCTGCAACGTCATAAAGGAACGTGCGCGAGATCGTCAACACCAATGACTCGCTGCGAGCGCGTCCGCTCTTTTTAGAATCTCTCTCTCTCTCTCTCTCTCAGTGTTGTTCATTCATGTCATCCTCTCTGTCTCCGGGATGTTTAACTGTCTCCTCCTCTCGCTCCTCCCTCACATTAACACACCGGATTTGGGGCGTTTTTATTATTACACGTGGCATTTTATTAATTATTATATATTTTACGCATGACATTTTGGGCATTTTAAGTGTGTGAGCATCATTCATCATTCGTTTGATCCGGAACAGCAGCGTTTTTGGACACCACTAGGCACGACCAGCTGGAGGGGGCGCCAATGAGCGCATATCTGGCACTAAGGCAAGAGCAGAATGAGGGGTGGCACTAGGTTTGACACAGGGTACGCAATTGTACATTTGCTGAGGGGTGTGCAAGATCAGTGTTGTCACCTTCCTGTACTCTATTCCCTAACACCATCACAGAACACTTTCTGCAAGTCAATCAGGGGTGAAAAAGTGACAAAGATGCAGCACCCCCTTAACTCCTGATGGTCATATTCCTCACATTTGATTTATGCCGTTTTGGAGGGATTTATGTTTATTTTGTTTTTCTTTCTTTGCCTCAAAAATATGCATATTTTGTACATATTTACACAAAATTGGAACAGTATAGCTAAATGGAAAATCTGTTCTGCACCCCAGAATGTTTCCCTCCTCTATTCATTTTGACTGTGTCTGTGACAATATCGAAGGGTGAACTCATTTAAAATGCTAAACAAATGTTAAAAAAAAACTTGTTTCTCCTTTGTTTAATTTTAACCAATAAACGTTTGATTATTTCTTTTATTAAAGAAGATTTTCACAGAATGATTGCAGCAAAATGTAAGAACATAAGAGCCCTTGAGCAGGTCTAATAAGAAAAAAAGAAAACAAATGTGTCGTGTTATTTTCTTTTCTTTTTTTTAAGTAGGTGTGCATTAAACGATTTGCAACGCTAATTTTTCAGCATTAAAAAGTTTAATTTGTCATTTTTGCTTTTTGCAGCACAAATTTTGTTTGGAAGGATGAAAATGACAGTAATATACACATATAAAACTTTAACGGGCGATTAAAAAATGTTGGTATAGTAAAATTAGCTAATTCACAAGATCAGTACTTCCTTTATTAAACCGCTTTGTTGAATTTAACGCATCCTTACGGAAGTGTTGAAATGCTAAATTATGCATTCACTTCTAACAGCCTCATACACACAGAGGGCAGAGCGTCGGTCATTTAAAGGGGAAGTTCACGCAAGAGAATAAGCAGCTACATTCTGATTACTTTTATGTGACTGATCAAGCTTTTATATGTATCAGAATCAGAATGAGCTTATTGCCAGGTATGTTTACACATACGAGGAATTTGTTTTAGTGACAGAAGCTCCACAGTGCAACAGAATGACAGTGACAAGACAGGACACAGATAATAAAAATAATAATATACAAAATAGACAATGTACAAAATAGCAAAAACGCAATATATAATATAGACAATTATGTATGTACAAGTATGATATGTGCAATTTGAAATGTAAAAGTATGTGTGTTAAATAAATAAATGTATAGTAGTGTTGTGTGTTCCACGTTTATTGTCAAGTGTTCATGAGATGGATTGCCTGAGGGAAGAAACTGTTCCTGTGTCTGGTCGTTCTGGTGCTCAGTGCTCTGTAGCGTCGACCAGATGGCAACAGTTCAAAGAGGGAGTGTGCTGGATGTGAGGGGTCCAGAGTGATTCTGCCAGCCCGTTTGCTCGCTCTGGATGAGTACAGTTCTTGGATATGTAGTTTGGGGTAACAAAGGGTTTTATAGGTTTGACTGAAATTATAATGCAAAAACTGACACTTTAAATCAATGTTTCAAACAACAACAACAAACAACTAAACAAAAACAGATAAAGACAAAAAGTAGTCATTGACAATTTCTAAACATATATCCAAATCCAAATGTAATGCGATTAATTTATGTGTCATCACAATTTCTTAAGGTATTGCACAAACCTGTTTATATATATATATATTACACAGGGCTATAGTGACAAGAAACTGCAATCAGAAAATAAATTATATACAGGTATATATATATATATATACATACACACACACACACACAAATTGGAAGTGTATCAATGTTGCTATTTAAGATTTGAGTGTTTACATAATCAGTTCCCTTTCATGGGAACTTCGAACTGCGTCCTCTAGGGGTCGCTATGGGGAACGCCTCGTCGTGACCCGTGTCTGAAGCATACATCGAAAAAACACCAACAACACGTTGGCCGGCGACAGCCCATGACGTCACTACCGGTGCGAC